CAATTTACACGTAACACTGATTGCATTGAATAATAATTTGATTTTTACATCATTTCAGTGCAAAGAAAGCTATTACAAAAATTTGAAATATACTTCGTCAAAAATTGATAGTGGTAATGATACTATACAATACAATAATATTCTCATAAAAATATTAATATATAATTTTACAAGATGGAGCGCTTATATACTATAGTATATAATTAAAATATTATTTATACAACCTTCGTAATAAATAAGTGCAATATTTTCTAATAATAACAGCCATTCACAAATAAATTCAATATTATAATTACAATTCCTTTAAAAAGGTTAAATGAGTCTTAAGTGCTTTAAGTGCTTTTCGATATAGAACAGGTCTGTGTTTAGTACACATATTTTCATCTCTAACCATTTTTATATTCCAAAGGGAATCGGCAAAAGAGTACAATCCATGCAGCCAAGTTGTTTTATTAATTTCACATTATATTATTGGCACCAAAAACGCTATTAGTACTTTTTTAATTAGACGAAAATATGTACAAAATCCTGCCAAGTGCAACGCAATGTTAAGTATCTGTGGTGACGTACAAGGGAAAGATAGCGTTAAGATATTTCAAATTTTAAAAATATTTTTCGTTTGTCTAAGTTACTGAAAAGTCATTTTCGTCAGGAATTACAAAATATTTATTCATCTATAAACAGTCAACAAAACACTGGTATACAAACAAGCATAAAATATGTATAAAACACAGAGCTGGTTCTTATGTACGCAGGTATATATTACATTAGTAATGTCTTCTTCAGTTAATAGAAAATGTCAGTTATACATAAAATATAATTTGTTACATACATATCCAAATACACAAACGCCGCTAAATCTTTAGACGCCGTTAAGTCTCGTGCTGACTCTATCACTAAGCCAAACTGACTGTGACATCTTTAAATTGAGTGGCGTGTATTTGGCCATGAATGTTTCTTTCTCAAATTTTTGTTAATAAAACATGTGTTTACGGTGCCGAAACGTTAAGCTACGAAGAAGCTTTTCCATCTTCAGAGGAATACTATTAGCGTGCATTTGATTTTGACCTTAATCCCAATAAAAGTTAAAAAAATCTTAAAACCACACCAATAACCGGAAAAAGAAATCTAAAAAACGCTATGAATCCGTAATGGACATCGATTTGACAAGTACTTTACTTGTACTTTTTAATATTTTACTAACACAAAAATATTTTAATATTGGGATATTATTGTAGTATTTTAGTATTCGTATATTCGATTAAGGGTCGCTGTCAAGGACACCCTTAAGTTATACCCTCAGTTTCACCGTGATTTATTAAAGACACCACCTTTGAAAAATTATGTTGTTGCATACATTTGGTACCGCGTAGTGTAGGGCGACCCCCCACTAGATGGAGTGACGACCTGGTAAGACATGCAGGAAGTCGATGGATGCAGGTGGCTCAGGACCGTGCTTTGTGGCATTACTTGGGGAGGCCTATGTTCAGCAGTGGACTTGTGAAGGGCTGTAATAATGATAATGATGATACATTTGATTTTTAACTATAGTACAGTACGGTAAGTGTACAATGTGCGCGTGAGACTAAAAGCGGTTATGATTAGCGACGGCGCGCTCTCAACTGTTCACTGCGTCACACACGCACACTATCGCAAGTACACGTTCAACCACGAGTAAAGCCCGTCTGACTTCGTGAATTGCAAGAACTATATTATTATATTATATACTTCATTTAACTCATGGCATTTTTAGCAGCCGTATAATGGTGTCGTTAATAAATCGTTTTGTCAACGACACTACTAAAAGAGACATTGACTTGTAAGGAAGATAAATTATTATACATAAACGGCTCCACTCTAAACACTTATCTAATGATTTTAAAAGCTATTGGTCGTAAATGCAGACAGTATAAAATTTCAAGTATTAAAACAATGAGGTGCTTCTAATGAAGAAAATAGATGTATATAAAATTTTATATCGTTCCATAAAGCGTTGTGTTACAAAGAATGAGTAAAATTTATTTAAAAATAACACCGTATATTATTATAATAATAATGTGACATTTCACAACCAAAGAAAATATTGCATTGATATATATATATATATATATATATATATATATATATATATATATATATATATATATATATATAATTGCCGTATGTAAAATATTAAAACGTGTATCGCAATAAAATATTAAAACCGCCACAATAATTAACAAGCAATAGTATAAAAAAATTAAAAATTTCCTAAAATAATAATAAGCAAGAAAAATTATTTTCGTTTCCTATTTTTAATTTAAATTAAGATAAACAAGTCACATTTTAAAAAAATTGTGTAAAAAAAGAATTTCTGTCGATGTAGAAAACTTGTTTTAAATCAATTATTAAAATCGACCCAAACAGACGAAAGCGAGTTAATTAAAACGTGGTAAAGTAATATAATAACATAGGTCAATATCTAAAGACAATCGGATATCTGAAATCAAATTGCGTTACTAGGAAACAAATAAATAATTGTGCTAATATGAAGATTCCCTTCAAGTACTTAAATCTTCCTTAAACACGCATTACACGTCGTAAATTAAAAAAAAACTGTTTAACCGTCTGCAATATAACTAAAATGATAACATCGTCAATGTATTCGAAGTTCATTAAATAGGCATTATTAAAGATACCTCACAAACTACTGGTCAGTTCTTGAAAAATTTTATATATTAAGATTAAGAGATAAAAAAAGAATTATCAAAATCGGTTCATCCAGTGAAAAGTTATGAGGTAACGCACATAAAAAAACATACAGTCGAATTGAATACCTCCTCCCTTTTGAAGTCGGTTAAAACAAAATATACAATAATACAGAACAAAAATAATTGAACTAATCAATTTTCACTATATTCTACATCGAATATACAACATAGCATATAATTCAAAACTATTCTGTGCTTTTTACAAATTAATGTAAATAAAAATATCAATATCTCGAGATATTACCTTGAAAACTGTGGCATTATTTTTAGATGAGTTCGTTTGCAAGACGTTGACGCGCGCACACTATTGCAATAGTGCCATCTCTTATTATCTTACAGAAATTGTGTATACTACTTTCTCTGTCGCACAAATGAGCACTGATTGCGAATGAGTGAGCTCACTCATTTGAGAATGGACACTTTTCGGAGGGGTCATAATACTAAGGGCGCATCTAACTATTTAATAATTTGGTATTTTATGCTTTTGGTATTGTTCAACTAAAAATCTAACGAGATTTTCAGTTGAACAACAACGTAACAATTATTATGTGTATTGACAAAGTTATACGTGGTAGAGCCACGCTGCAGCTATATTATGGTTGTAGCACGAATGGGTCAACTCGACCAGGGTAGGACCACGCTCTCACAGAATACCAGTGTAAAATAGCAGCTTAATAGTGCTGTGTTTCGTATGGTGAGTGTAAAGACCCAGAGACTTTTTTACCGGAAACGAGGCATTCCATCATCTTAGTCCTGAGTGGTGACAACGCATCTGCGTTTTGATTCTTAATCGAGGATAAATGTAGATGTCTATGGGCCACAGCATCCACTTACCATCAGGTGGACTGTGTGCTCGTTTGTCACCCTTATTCTATAAAAAAAAAGTTAGTTTTATCTGTTATTCTTTTTTCAATTGTATATTCTATTCGTTGATATATATTATATACAGAATAAGAACAAAATGCAACCTTTAAATTTTCTTGTAAAAATAAAACTTCTGATAGGCGCTTTACAGCAGGTTACGTTTTAAATTTCTTACGCAATTAACTAATTAAATAAACAAATTTTGTAGAAGTTACAATTTTCCGTCGCATGACGGCAGATTAGCTCCAATATGTGTATATACAATGTGGATCCAATCTTAAAGGCAATAGTGAATAGGCTTTGTTAAGCTAAGTCAGTTCGCTTCACCATCTTTAGATGAATCACCACTTACCACAGGTAAGATGGTAGTCAAGCACTGCCTAGAACCGTTAAAACAAATATAAAAAACAATTAGAAATAAATATGTCATTATTATATAACGAACATTTAAGTACTAATTATTTTATATTACACACAGCGTACTCAACCATAGTATATATATCATAGCATGGAGGTGAACAGTGTTCCATGGTGAGTTGGATGACAATGGATGGGATCAAATTATACGCACCAAATGCTTACACTTTTTTAAACTTGATATTGACAAAATTATAAAGCGCTTTAATTTATCCTTACATGAAAATTATCCTTCGATTGTTGCATTATATTAAAAAAAGCAATTATGGTAATACTGAAGTATATAGAAACAACAGTGAAATCGTGTCACAAAATTCATGCTATAAATGAGTCTAAAAAAGATTGCAAATTGTCAAAGTCACAGAAAATTTTAATAATAAAACAGTCATGTTTCAATATTGTCTACTTATTACAACAACAAAAAACAATTCTACTAAATACAAATAGAATAACCAATCTGTCAAAATTATAATAATTATCATAATTAGATTAAGTTAATCTGTATAAAATTTTACATCATAATATCTGTATTTAAGGTAGCAATTAAAAATAGCACAGGAGTATGTTGAGTTGTCAAGAAAATCGATTATCTATCTATTATATATCTGTAACTGGCTGACAAAGGAGAAAAATATAACGAGGCGATTAAGTCTACGTTAATGGAGCACGGGATATGGTAGTGTGTTTACCATGCTGCGCTTGACTGTAAATTTTCTCTTTATTATACAGGTAAATGTGACAAATGAGCAAACAATTCTCCTAATTATAATAATGATAATTAAAACAAACTAAAATAAATGATTTTTCACAGCTAGTTTAAGTTTGATAAGTATAGTAATATCATCGGCTTTTATAAAATCCAAGATGGTGATGTCCAAAATTCCTGTGTTCCGTGCTCTCCCTAAGCTATTCACTGGAATAACTTATTCAATAATATTGAATAATTATAATATTTTGGCACACAGTACACTATGCGGCGGCGGCGGCAGCCATTCTGTTCATAACCGTGGAGTAAGCGAGACCCAACGCCCATGACACCTCGTGCCCGTTCACCTTTTTGAATAGCTGTAAGGGAAACGCATAAATTGTAGTGTGTTGCATCTATAAGACTTCGATTAGGGATTAAAAAATAGCAAAAATTACGTTAAATAAGTGGTAAAATTAAAAATTATGTACAACCGACTTCAATATAGATAAAATGAGAACATCATGAATGTAATCATAAGCGACAGTAGCCTAATGGCAGGGCGCGGAACGCGAACTCAAAAAGGTCGTGGGCTCGAATCCGCCATTTGACTACTGGCGTAAACCACTCGCAATTTAAGCTTACCACGAGTGTTTAAGGGGAATATTAGTAATGTTTATAGCATTGTTAATATTCTTTTAAGGAATTAAAAAAAATCGAAGTCAATTAAGAACGCATTATTAAGCGTAACTCAAAAACTACTACTCAGATTTTGATCAAATATATATGGCGCCACATGAGCACCAGCTTTCGAATAAAAAAGAATCATCAAAATCGGTTCACCTGAAAAACGTTCCGAGGTAACAAACATAAAAAACATACAGTCGAATTGAGCACCTCCTTCTATATTTGAAATCGGTTAAAAACCGCTGAATACCGCGGAATAAAACTCCGTCTGCTAACCGGCCTGCTAAGCCTAACAACTAGCCAACCTATGAGGAAGCTCTGTGTTCAGTACAATTCACGTATCGTTCATATAATGCACAGCAAACCTTTGCTTACTTTGTTGCTGTTCTGCATTATAAGATACTAGCTGTTCGCCGCGACCTCATTCGCGTAAAATTTGTTACGATTGAATTTCATGGATTTGAATTTTTTACGAAAGACCCCAATTCTTTTACTAAAATTAAAATAAGACTAAGTTACTCCTTATAACATCAGCTATCTGCCAGTGAAAGTTCTCACAATATTGGTTCAGCAATTTCGGAGATTAGCCGGAACAAACAAAAAAACAGACACAATTTTTTTTTAATTTTTTTTTTTCAAAAATATTTCATATACCTGTGCCCCGCGGTTTCACCCGCGTATACCACTTGTCTGCACCGCGCGACTTAACATGACGTAAATGAGCGAGGTCATTTAGTTCAATAATTTTAGCTAAAAAAATTAGCAAAATTAATGTAGTACTTTTATCTATCGGCATGATATATACGTTATACAGCAAAATTACATTTTATCCACTCTCTCTCCCCCTCCCAGATGAATGCCTCAAATAGTACCCCAAAACGCGGTCTTTTCCAGTTTTAAAGAGTTTTAGATGTGGCCACTTGTAAACGATATAATAAAAAAATAAGTTCAAATTTTGAAAATGGAACTCTTTGCCAATGTTCCATGTCTGTGTCACGTCAGCATGAATTTAACGCGAGAAAATTTTCGCACAATGATTTTTATGAGTATGTGCGTGTGTGTGCGTGAACGGTTGTTTGTGTGCGTGTACTCACAGAGACGGGGTCAGTGTCGCGCATCTTGTAGGCGTCGTGCAGCAGCGCGATCACGAAGGCGAGGTCAATGCAGGCCCAGGGCTGCTCCACGTTGGCGGCCGAGCAGGCGCGCAGCGCGCTGCCGCGGTACTGCGCCACGGATACCGTGCCGCCCCTCATCACATCTGCACCGTACATACCACGTCATTCATATACAACGTGTCTCGAAATTCAACGTTAAGCGGGCACCAGGGTAGTGGACAAATCATAGAATACTATAATACATACATAATAGAACGGGGAAGTGGGCGGAGCCCGTGTAGCCATTAACATGTCAATTCACACCTATAAATGTCAACACAATCAATCGTTTCCAATTTTCATGTCAAGTGTCCTCCATGCAAATTATTTGAAAAATGGCAAATTGTGCAATAATTACGTGTTGAAAGAACAGCGGGAAATAGAATTTAAATAAAGGAGACATATTATCCAACCAGTAAGTCGAAACTATTTATATTTTGTGAATATTAGAAACAAAAATAAATAAGTATTTATGTGTCAAAAACATTAATCAAGAGTCTAAAATGTGTCTGTAATAGTGATAACTGATAATACGACGTAATTGCTTGTGTGTCCTCCCAGCGACGCCGATTCTCGTACAAAATAAGGTTAACAGCCATTTTATTGTGTATTATAGTATTCTATGGGACAAATTGACGACTACTTAGGAAAAAATCTAACTCTGTTATAATAACTTTTTTAAAATACGTCGTAAAAGTAGTTTATATACACGTATGGACATAAAGTTGCTACTGCAGTGGCACTGACCGTTGACGCCCGCGTCGGCGACCACGTCGTAGAAGAAGCTCATGGCAGCGACGGCGCCACGCAACGGCTCGCGCGGCTCGTAGTCAAGCGCGCGCAGCGTGTAGCGCTCAACTCTATAGACATAAGGTTGCTATTGCAGTGGTACTGACCGATGACGCCCGCGTCGGCGGCCACGTCGTAGAAGAAGCTCATGGCGGTGACGGCGCCACGCGGCGGCTCGCGCGGCTCCCAGTCGAGCGCGCGCAGCGTGTAGCGCTCAACTCTATAGACATAAGATTGCTATTGCAGTGGCACTGACCGATGACGCCCGCGTCGGCGGCCACGTCGTAGAAGAAGCTCATGGCGGCGACGGCGCCACGCGACGGCTCGCGCGGCTCCCAGTCAAGCGCGCGCAGCGTGTAGCGCTCAACTCTATAGACATAAGATTGCTATTGCAGTGGTACTGACCAATGACGCCCGCGTCGGCGGCCACGTCGTAGAAGAAGCTCATGGCGGCGACGGCGCCACGCGGCGGCTCGCGCGGCTCCCAGTCGAGCGCACGCAGCGTGTAGCGCCGAACCACCTCGTGGCAACGCGCGTACGCCGCTTCGCGCTTCATACCCGCCGGGCGCGGCGCTCCACTGTGCATCGAACAACCATACACAATTAATAACAAATTGATTTATTTCAAGGCAAAGGCATCTGCATACAGCCTAGTTTGGCGTGGATTTTGTTTCAAATTTTTTTTAAACTACGCTAAAGTCATAGTAAGACTGCGATTGCCAATCCGCATGCCACATAGAAAAGCCATATTGCTCAAAAAAGAGACAAGCTGTTTGAAAAAATTGTTCCAAAGTGGCAGGCTTATACCAATAAGCAAAGTGTAGGCCGACCCCCACTGGACAAAACGATAACATAATAAAAAATGCAATAAATCAACAGCTGACTTAACTTGAAAATCAAAATTGGTTCATAATTAACGAAGATATCGCGTAACATATATAGAAATAACTTAGTTGAACACAAAAATTTCTCTTTTGAAGTCGACTAAAAAAGTAGTGCGCCTAATATAATGATTGTGGCATTGAATACAAGACACCTGTTTCATGGTTTCCATTAATAGTTCACGTACACAATTATTTAATAAAATCGCACCCCTCGTACGGATCACTGTTGTGCCTCACTTTAACCATGGGAAAAGTAATTAATTAAGGTAAAACATACGGTCTGCTCTCGGCCTTTTTCCAGCGAGATGGCGCTGAAGTCATCATTTTTAAGTTTATTTGGGTTTTTGTCTAATTGGAACAAAGTCGTAGAAGTGGCTATCGCGTTAATCGGACGTTATACTTTATTGTACTAGGTCATATACTTGCCTCAAAATCCACACAATTCGACACAAAGCTCTAAAATAACATCTGTCATTGAATATAGTGTCGTTCACGTAGAATGAATTCCTAGTTCCTACGTTTGCGAAGATTGATTTTTTTTTTCATACAAAAAGAATATTAACAATGCTATAAACATTACTAATATTCCTCTTAACCACTTATGGTAAGCTTAAATTGCTTGTGTTACGACGCCAGTAGTCGAATGGCGGATTCCAACCCACGACCGTTTTGAGTTCGCGGTCCGCGCCCTGCCATTAAGCTTCTGTCGCTTATAGATTAGTAGATGGCGTGAATAAAAAAAAAGGTTTTTATTTTTTCTTTATGGGTAGACAAAACTACAGAATGCCTTCTGCTACGATATACGTATATTATGTAAGATTCATCATCTGCCTAGCCTTTTTCCCAACTATATTGGGGCGGCTCCCATTCAAACCGGATTCAGCTGAATACCAGAATTTTACGATTATGTTATAAAAATAGAAGTTATATTTGTAGATATATTTATTTAATTCAATAATAACACTAGTTTACAAAATTGAACTTTTTTTATACCCCAAAATAAATGTATATAAATATGTTAATATACATTCCTTAAAAATAAAAGCGTTAGCAGAAATATTTTTTCACGTCACAATTTATTCCTGCAGTCAAATGTTTTTTAACCACCTAACGTGGTGACGAGTTCATTGTTTATTCGTTCGCTTCAAAGGATAATTATTTTGTTTCGGATTGACTTAAAATGTCGAGTAGAAAGTGTAAACAAAGTTCTGATCGTTTTTGTTATGTTTGTGGACAGTTTATATTTTCAAAAAAGAGAAGACCCATTGTAGATTCGTTGAAAAGTGCATATCTTCATTATTTTGGATTTTCTGTTGCAAATTAAAATAAAAAGTGGGTGCCTCATGTGTTTTGCGAAAGCTGTAGAATAAATAAAAAGTGGGTGCCTCATGTGTTTTGCGAAAGCTGTAGAATAGTTTTATTTCCATGGTCATCACGAGAAAACTTTCACCTTCCATTTGGTTCACCAATGCTATATATAATGGTGTGTTATTAGGATTGCAGGGTGATTGCACAAAATACCGATGTCTTCTTTGTTTGTGGGCAGTAGAGGCAACATCATCATGTTAGAAAAGAATGGCCTATTAGGAATGAGTATACTCCGGGTAAAATGAACATTAAATACGAGTTGAGTTGTTGGTAGATCCCAATAACGTCACTACCCCCTTTACACCAAATTGGGGCTCATGAAAAATTTTTGTGAAGGCGCTTGACAAAATTTTTTGGGGGGGCTTTGTTGCGAAAAGCGGAAAAAAAAGTGTTTTTTTTTAACCGTTTATAGAAAAATCTTGTGATTTATTGGGGAAATTTTTATTCGACCGATTTATTGGAAAATTTTCAAAAGGTGGGAGTAAACATGTCATTAAAGATTCATTTTCTGCACTCGCATCCGAGTTTTTTCCCTGAAAACTTAATTACAAAAATTTTACACTACATAACACGTAAGAAACTATTCATAAACAAGAAAATTGCAATTGAGTATTACAAAAAAACGCGAATTACAAGGTTTAGAATTACAAGGTTTCCTCGTCGAAATTATGTTTTTCGTTCTTTGCTTGAAATAAGAATTACTTGGTAAAAATAGTTCGTTTTCTCTACTAAAATAAGCTCAGAGCAAATTTTAGATAACTTATTTATTTATTTAGTAATAGGGAATTAGGGAACTCTAATTTGTAGATTCTATTGATAATTGACCATCAAAAAAAATATTTGTATCTCACAATTACCTCCTATACTTTAATAATGATAGAATACATTTTCGTTATATGCTTTTCACGACGACCGAAAAAGCTTCGATACAAGCCCCAATTTCTCCGAAAAAAATTATACCAAAATAGTCAACATTTGCTTAAACTACACTATAATTATTACTTTTTAAAACGTTACTATTATCTTCTAATTAACTAAATAAAAGTACTATATATTTCACTGCGCCGACCATCTAAATTCATTACCGAGCGAACGGTTCTCGAGGTTGGACCTATGTCAACTACAACAAAATAAAATAAACTGATAATGTGTGTATGGCTGAAACTGTATGCAAAATGTTTAATAGATATTTTCTGAGTAACCCGACCAAACTATATTTTGCAAATGTTTGCAAAATTAATTTTGTGACTACTTTGGTAGCTTACCGATTTATAAATTATTTTTGTTGCACAAAAAAAATATTCAAACAATATAAATATGAAACACTGAATTTGTAGTTTCGTACTCATCACCGACACGTATGACGTAGATAATTAGTATTGTGTTAAAATCACGGACCAACTTGCTATTTCTAATACTACTGAAAATAAAATTGCGTATTTTGAATAATTAATTACTATACCTACAATAAATTACAATATATTCCATTATATTGGAATCAAATACATACTAGAAATATTGCAAATTGAATCATTGAAAATCGTACAAAAATATATATCACGCAAGAAATTCCGCGCGAAAATCCTATTGCGTGACAATCAAGAATTACTTCAGAATGTAGTATTTTATTACAATCAAACAAGCGAACCAAGTTTGGCAAAGCTTTTTCTTCTTTCAACGTAGTCATGGAGTATAGAGGTAAGGAGGACAATCTCCCATAGGAGAATAGTTGAAAATGTGTCCATCTGTTCTTTCATCATTGAACTGTTATTTACTGCTTAAATAACAGTTCAAATATCTCCACAACAGCGCTCGAGTAGCTAGATGGTATGAAATGAACTTAGCAGTTGTCGACGGAGTGAAGTGTGCTCAATTGAGAAATTTAATATTTGTGGTGACTAAAGTAGTTGATGAAACTGCAGTATTTAAAACGTCAACTAATTACTTTGTCTTAAATAATTTAGTAAATATAGCGCAGAATAGTCGCCGTAAAACATGTTGAGAGTGATTTTGAAAGTAAAAAAATTTGACAACAATAAAATAATTATTATAAAAACAATTATGGTGAGTCTGTGCATTAAAAAAAATATAAAAAGTTCTTTAAAATTTACACTCTAGCTACAGTGGCGCCTCCCTTATTTAGCGCTTTTCTAAGGACACTTTTTTATACAGAGTTTGTTCTCCTTATCTCTACACTCTATAACCGTAGTGGATGTAGGTCCAGGTTAGGAAGAATAGAAATGTTGCACAAGTAATACCTACGGATAATGGTATTTACGTTGCTACACAACAATAATATGAAATAAATTGTTTCGATTACATTTCTGTCAGGAATCGTATTTCGGGTTTATTTGTTGTTTACACTATCTCCTTATTTTAGCCATTGCATACGTTGGGCATCATAGAACTCACATAGGTGCGAAAATATGGTCAATTGATAATTTACTTCCCATATCGCAATGTATTTTTTTATTCCTTATTGACAGCCCTTAGTACCCACGGAAAGTCCACCGGGACGAGAAGGGGAAAAGATGGCAAAGTAATACGGACACTCGCGCGCAGTGATAAAGTTTTATTTAGCTTGCGTGCGCAATTTATTTAATTAATAATAATTATATAGGCTATTAAACGTCGGCAAGCAGTCAACAATAAAGGACTGCAACTTCTGTACGTAGTAGTATTATTTATTCTGTGATAATGTGGCCAATAAGTCATAAACATTTGTGCTACGTTTTGTTATAAGTAAGAATGAGTCCACACGCCGCGTTGCGTTGCGTCGTCGTAACGCAAATATTCTGACGCACTGCCAGCCACACTGGCGCTACGTCATCGCAGCGTCGTCACAACACAGTCGTAACGTTCCGTCGTCGCAGCGGCGAGGCACAATTGCGGTGAGCAAAAAGACGTCTGGCATTGCTCATATTACTACATCACTGCCGAAATCGACGCAAAATCACTGGACAGTATTGGATCTGTCTTTTAATTTCATTAAGAAATAGTGATAGACAGTTTTTTTGTTAGAATATCAGTAGTTGTTGGACGAAAAGAAGTTTTATAATTTCTTTAGAATGAGTGTTTCCAGCTTCGAATATTTATTGAAGTCCTTAGAGCCACACATACGGAAAAATTATACTAATATGAGGAATCCAGTGGAGCGAATAGAAATGCTGGGAATTACTTTGAGGTAACTATATAAGTAATGAAAATATTATAATATTTTTGTCTGTTTATAATTTAAAGTTATTGTAGTGCGCGACTCTCTAAGTCGTTATCAAGTAAATATATATTTGAAAATTTCCTGAATTAATGAAATGAAGTAATCCATATCAATTTCTTTAATAGTACACATTTTACTCTGCAAATTAAAGTCAAAGAAAATACGAAATTCACTTGCGTGCTATCAACACACAAACAACTGAGCGCTGTCGCTCCCGCGTCGCCAGCAGTACACCCCTTCCCCTTCATCTCGAGGGCTTTCAGTCAGTTGTGTTCACACAGTGCGCGTTGCGTCAACGCAGCGCACTGTGTGAACACTATCGGCCCTATTAATAAACACAGACTTGAGCAAGATTAACTTTACTCCTAGTTTACAGCTTAAAATATCTAATTTCAGTATTAATAAACATAGAGTAAGGAGGGAGTAAACTAATCCGAATCGGCTCATACGGACGGTTCATAAAAGATAGCTTGATCTCTGCAACAGCTGTCAGTAAAATCACGCCTATGAAGTCCTGAATTTCTTAGTAGTAAAGACAGTACCTGTCAATGTCATACATTATGGGCATGCCGACCTAATTAGTGCATGCCCATAAAGTATCTTTTATGAACTATAGTTTAACGACTGAGTAAGCTAGTCGCGTATTTTGACATTTTGTAAAACTTTACGTTTACGCGCGTTGTTACCCCTGTTAAATTCATAAGTTGTAGCACTAGTAATAGAAACAGCATAATGGATTAAAATGCCAAAAAGTGATGTGGAGCAGAACAAAGTGATTGCAGGTTTTTATTCATTATGTGGATTTAGACAAGTGATTGGGGCTATTGAATGCCACATATTCGAATCCCGAAAGTCGCTGGAAACATCGGACAATGCTACATAAACAGGAAAGGATACAGTTCAATAAATGTACAAGTAAGTTATATAGCACCTAGCTAGCCCATCTTTGCCATTATAGGTACTTAGTTATTTTCTTAGATTCAATACAATCACCTCAATCTATTATTTCATATTAAAGAAGTTATGAGTGCTTTGTTCCAGGTTGTGTCAAATGCACATTGGCAAGGCAGCACACATGACTCAAGAATATTTAATGAAAGTCGCATTAAAACAAACGTTTGAGCAGTCAGAATTTAAAGGCAGACTTCTCGGAGATTCTGGTTATGCTTGTACTCTATCTATCTACTATCCTGCGTCCTAATAAATAAAAGGAAGAAACGTACAACCGGTCGCACATCTGGGCCCGTAACACTGTAGAACAATGCTTTGAAGGGAAGCAAAGGTTTCGGTGTTTACTGCGAGGACTAAATACTAAATAAGAGCATACAAAACTATATATACATTGCAATGCAAAAGCAAGATCTGCTTGAGGATGTAGTATAAGGAGATGATGAAAATGTACTAGTCACACAATTAGTAAATAACTCCGTTAGAGTAAATAATTCTGTTCGGGCAGCACTTATTAACGATTTTTTTTTAAACAAATATACAATAAATACATGTACAAAAGATTTTATTTATCCCCAAAAAACAAAACAAAATTGGTTATTTAATTAATTTTGCCCTTCACGCTCTTTTCTTAATTCTAAAATTGCGTTACAAATAATATTAAAAATTATTATATTTAGAACTTAGTTTTTCCACCGAGTCCGAAATCAAAGTACACACAACGTAACACGTAACAACGTGAATACGTAACACGTATCTCTTGTCAAACTCAAAATATTGCCTGTCACCACCTGTCACTGTCATTAACGTCATCATCAAGCATTGAGTTCATTCACCAAATATTCACTGACTCACTCTTTTTACTTTTAAAATAAGTGGGTTGCCATAGCGCAAGCGTTAATCCCGGCGTAAGGAATGTATTGTTAGTCCGAGGTTACTCCATGTTTATTAATAACATTGTAATAACGAAGTAAATAGTCAGTTACTCTGAGATTAGCTAGTCCAAGTGTAACTTCGAATTATGCTTGGAATAAGCAATTTTTATTAATAAAGCAGTATGATTATTAGCATGTAATACTGCGCAGTGACAGCGCTACGCCAATGCAACGAACAAAAGAAGCTATCTTTGGCGGAACTATTTTGCGGAAATGGTAATTATTATTAATGGTTCGTGCTTTCGTTAATGACAAATAATAGGAAATATTACAGTAATAAATGGGTATTAGACCAGGTCAATTAAAATATTTTTTAAAGTTATCGATCAAATATTATTATTTCATTCATCAATTATTAGTAATGCCGTCATCATAGTTTAAGTTGGATAATATAATAATACAAAATAAATTCCTATTTCCTAATAACAAAGCCTATTAGTGTTACGTTTTCGAAAAATGTTACCAAGTACAACGACAGTAAAACTACCTACCTTATAAAGTATTGTTTGTTAGCATACGTCCAAGGTTCCCGTTGGATGATGGGGTCAACACAGACCGATGTAAATTCATTCGTGGCATTGTCTCCGGCTTCTAAACGGAAGATACCGTAACGAGCAGCGTAAAGTCCCAGGTTCAAGTAACTAAAAGCAATAAATAGTTAAAATTAATAAATGTAATTATTAGTGTGTTGGCGACGTCAAAACAATGATCGCATTCAAGAAGGGAATTGCTAGAAAAATGTCATGGCTACCTAAATAATAATAATTAGTTTTTTTTTTCGGAAAACAGGTATCCAATAGTGGTTTGTAACATTTAAATTTAAAGATGGCGATAGAAACATCTGGAATACACTCTTGTACGAGTTATATTGCTCCCTAAGATTTGGGTCAGCGTCTGTCATCAGCCGGGTGCGCTATATACAGGTGAGGTTAGTGTTTGAGTTTTCGCCCTGCATTATGTATTTAATAATTATATAGAATAATTGTTAAATTTTATAATCCCGTTAGGTTTCTTGCTGGTTCATCTCAAGATAGAGGTGTTTTCCGAAGTAATAATTAAAAAAAAAACTTGATTTTGACTTGAGTAATTTTATTTTTTCAGTGGCATTAACTTAGGATACTGTACATTTTTTAGGTTGAGCATCTGATCGGAAAAATAGACTGAAAATGACTTTTATTGACTGCACTTAGTGATCGCAGCGCCTCACTGATGGTGTCCACATTTCTGGGACACTATTTTCTACGGCGATCGTTCACCTGTTCTCTAACCTTCATGATTACCACTATGTCCGTCCCGCTCTCACCTGTGCGTGTAGAGCGTGACGTTCTCGCCGGCGGGGACGACGTGCCTGTCCGCCTCCGGGTATTGCGTCGCCTCGCTGTCGCTCAACTGGTACGTAATCTGCGTAGAACCACCGCCCAAGTCCAACGCGGCCATTGTCTCGCCGCCTAACAGATCTGAAATTAAAATTAAGTCATTAATTTATATATTTTATAAAAAATATTGGTGACAAACGAGCACACATCCTATAGACATCTATATTTATATTAAATTAAGAATCAAAATGAGGACCAAGGTGGAATGCCTCGTTTCCAGTAACAAGGGTCTTCGGTGCATTCACCATGCGAAACAAAACAGCATTCAGCTGCTACTGTACGCTGGTATTCTGTGAGAGCGTGGTCTATTCCCGGTGGAGCCGACCGATTCACGCTACAACCATAATATAGCTGCAGCGTAACTGGGTCATCATCATCATTACAGCCCTTCACAAGTCCACTGCTGTCGGTTCTTCGAGCTATATGGCCTTTTTTTATTTCTCAGACATGCCGGTTTCCTCACGATGTTTTACGTCACCGCCGAGCACGTGGTAAATCAGCACTTAAAATTGCAATTAACAATTTCATTGGTGCCGGCGGGGATCGAACCCGGTTTGCTCGCGTACTGTGAAATTTACAGCGAGCGCTAACCAACTACTACTGCTATCTCTACCACAGCGTATTTCTGTACCACATAAAAAATATTATATAATAAATTCTGTCTGAATACTCCCGAAAAAATCGAGTTTGTTTTGTATTTCTTATTGCCGATACCAATACGCACAATTCAATGGAACCACCATTGAAATTGATTGTATTAAACAATCGGTACAGCCATTCTGAAGATTAACCTGTTCTGACAGACGGACAGACAGTCAAGTAATAGTTTTCTGTATCTTAAAACCATAGAAATTGGCCGCCGGGCCTAATATAAGCCAACAACAAAAAGACACTTCAATTTAAATTTTAAATTTTAGACATCCTCTCAAACTGAAATAATGAAATAATAATCAGTTTCTGAAGTCGGTACTAAGCTATAGTTTATGAAAGAACTAGCGACCAACTTTGCCTGTACAAGATCTATTCATGTTATTTAGATTTAAGTTAACCAAAGACCACTTAATTCATACATTTTTCGTTTAAAAAAAACCTTTAAAATTTTCGAATAAAATACAGCCTATATAGATATCTACTGGCATTTCTCTCTATCTGTAAGTAATGTTTCATCAGAACCGGTTCAGCAATTCCGAACGCGGACAGACAATTTTTTTAAATGGTTATTTATGCCTTAAGGGGACATATAACCTCAAATGGCTTAGCAAGATCCTCCGTTATGCCGAAAATATTGAAGCATTAATTTTGAAATAAATATATGGTAAAGTTGAGGATTAATGTTAAGTACTATGTTAGACGAAAACACGATTCCGTAAAATTTTCTCGATAGAAAAAAAATCCAAAGTTACCTCCAAAATAAACAATAAACCGCTGTTATTCATAAAATACTTTAAATAAGATCATGAAACTGCATACTAACTGAACTAACTATAAAGCAGTGCTTATGTTATTTACTTTTTTTAAAATACCATTATTTTCACTGTAAAAAGAAATTACCTAAACTATCGGCTTCTTGAAGCTTGATTCCTGCCGCCCGGTCAGTTTCGCTTCGGCCTTTGAAGGGGCAGGTTGTGTCGCTTACGATCAGAATACACATTACGCAACAGGACGACGTAAAATTAAAATGGGAAATAACCGTAATAAAAATAAGAAGCGACTGGGTTGGCGTTAAGAAACAGGCATAAATATGATAAACCTAATGAAATAAGTATCTAACGATCTATCTACTTACAGTATTAGTGATTACAAACATGTAGGTACATATCATACGATGCGCGGGGAAGTGGGGGCGAAATTAGAATTTGAGCTGACTTACTATATCCTCTTAATAGCATGCAAATAACCCCCTAAGCTTAACAGAAGCCAGTTATTTCAATATTACATTCATTTATTTATTTTATTATTCGTTTATTTATTTTGCATAATATGTGTGTTTTACAGCTGTTATAATAAAGAAATATAGAAAAACACGTTAACCATTTCTGGTGTACAAAATTATTGAATTTTAAAACTATTAAGTATTACTTGGTACATAATAGAGTAAAATTACAAGGAAAAAAATACAAGCATTGCATAATAATTACCCAAACAAAACCTAAGAAACAAAACATTTCATACTATTTGCTTATACATACAACCTTAATATCTAAAATTATAAATTTTATGTCAAGTTATACATAATTGTCAAAATATTATTATTTTTTAAATTCATTCTTCAAAAGTTTAGAGATATTGTTGTTCTAATAACTCACTAATGGAATAAAGAGATTAGCCATTTTTTCAACTCCTTTCCGAAAAATTTCCTTGGTTGTAATTTTATGTTACTAGGTATTGTGTTAAATATTTTTATGCACATTGCATAGCAACTATTATGATAACTGTTTTAGGTATTTAACCAATTACTAATTTATCTGGATTTCTTAAAGGTTTAGATTTGTTAATGTCTCCAGTAGTTATAAACAGCTTAGGATTATTTTTCACTAATTTTGTTGTTTCAAGGATAATTATCCAAGGAAGTTTTAACGTTCTAAATATTAGTGTGCACGATTCATGAGGGGCCATATTACATAATGGACATTGACACTTTTTTCACAATGAAAGCTTTATTGATGTCTACAGAATTTCCCCATATTCTTATAACGTAGCTAAGTATACAATAAACGTATCCGTAATATGTCATAAAAGATGTTGATTGCGATGCCGTCTTTTTAAGGTTCCGTACTATGTAAACAAAGCGGTTAAGTTTATTATACCTATACTTTTTCTATGTGAGTTATCCGGTTACAAAATCTGTATAACGAAAAAGGAAATTTCTTGCACTTGTTTTATTTGTTTGCCAATGTATACGATATTTAGCTTTATTTCATTTTTTTATTGCAAAATTGTATTAACTTGGTTTTGCTTATATTTATGTGTAAATTATTATGTTCTAACCATTCAATTATTAATTTAAATGAATTATTTATGTCATTTACAAACTTACCAATGTCAAATTTTTCGTTACATGTCAATAGCATGGCAATGAAGTCAATAAATTATTCATTACATAAGAGATCTCGTTAATATACAATAAAAATAAAAGTGGACCAAATACACTACCTTGAGGCACGCCATAGTTCGTTATAATAATTTAACCTTGCAATTTCTACACTTTGTTTTCGATCTTTAAGATATGATTCTATTCAATTTAATGCCGGTTCGCGAATACCTAAGTTGTCGAATTTGTTTAGTAGAAGTTTGTGTAAAATGATGGCAAATGCTTTACTCATATCTACGAATGCTACAGAAGTGTGATTTATGTCTTCTAAAATATTAACCTTTTTACAACATGAAAACAAGCATGAGTAGTTGATTTATTACTTTTAAATTCAAATTGTTCATTTATGAGGTGAATTTTATTATACGCTACATTGCTTTTTCAAGGAATATTTAGGAAAAAGTAGGCACTAAATTTATGGGGATGGGGAGATAATTACACATATGACGTTTATCATCTTTTTTGTGGACTGGCTTTACTAAAGATTTCTTTCACCGATTTGGAAAATTGCTATTAGTAGAAGAAAGATTAATGAGGTAGGTTAAAATTTGTACCAATTCTTTACTGCAACAATTTATTATTATTGTGGAAACTGCATCACATCCCGCTGCGTTTGTGTCATTCAGTGACCTTATTATATTCAAACGTCCCGATACCATCACCATCTGGATGCTTGGCGGTCCACCACTGTACGTTTCAGAGGGAGTTTTCTTCCGCGTCGGTCGTATCGGTCCGGAAAAACCGATACGACCGACGAACTTGAAAAGATATAATAATCTTGAAAAGATATATTAATTTGATCAATTTTTTTTTCGATAAAGTGGTAATTTTGGTATAGATTACATGTCATTGTCAGAAAATTATTAAGTTTCCATTCATTTAAGTTTGTATTAATGTTTGTGTATATTTGTGCGAATTCCTAAGACTAATACGTAATACGTATTAATAATTAATACGTACTAATACGTACGACCTCTCTGTGGAATAGTTTACCACCGGCGATTTTTCCGGACCGATATATACGACCTGGGGACCTTCAAGAAAAGAGCTTACTCCTTTCTAAAGGGCCGGCAACGCACCTGCAATTCCCCTGGTGTTGCGGTTGATCGTGGGCGGCGGTAGTCACTTAACATCAGGTGAGCCGCACGCTCGTTTGCCCCCTCTTCTATAAAAAAATACCTTGTGAAAATCATAAGGAGATCTATCAGTAAGACTAATAAAGTATTCATTAATTGCCACCGCGGTTTTAGTAGGATCTGTAATTAATTTATTCTTTATTACTTTTCTCGCATCCTTGTTTAACAACTTTCCACGCAGTTTTACACTTATTTTTTTAATTCTTCACAAACTAAGTTATTAATTTTTTCAGAAAGACTAATACATTTTTAAGAGCTTTATGTATTTTTTATTGTAACTGTAATTTTCTTTTCATTTTACATCTAAACTTTAAGCCTTTAGCAACCATCTAAGTCTAGACGGTTTGTTTAAAATTTTGATACGCGTCCGAGGAAAGCACAATTCATAAATTAGCAGGAAGTTCATGAAATTCATCAAATTTAGTAATTTTCACTATAAATATGTGACCAATTTATACTGTACAAACATTCATGAAATTTTGTAATATTGTGAGGATACTAATCCATTTTGAAGATAAAGTAATGTTTCAAAGGGCTATAGATTTATTCTTGTACAGGTACTTGTAGCATTTGCGCTGTATTGTCATCTGACAATGCTAATTGCTTCCTCGGTTGTCTCCCGCTATAATTTTTTTATTTTATTTCTTTCGGATATGTAATGCAGAAACGCGTTAAACTTATGTAAAAATAATTCAATGTTAGAGCTAGGTGCTCTATATAAACATATGACGACGATTTTGTGGTTAATTAGTTCAATCCCGCAACATTCAAAAAGTTTCGTCCGTAGCATATTTTTTAGATAATTCTAGATTTTTATATTACAAGTTCAGTCATACTAATATATATACACCTCCTCTATTCTGTTTCCTATGTCGGCAAAACGTTGATGCTACATTATAATTATTAATAACTACGTTTGATTCACACCCCTTTGGAATAAAGGTTTCTGATATACAAACTACATCGGGGCGAATTGGCATTAAAGCCTCCTCAAGCAGTTTTTTCTTACTATATATGCTAGCTATATATTGATATGCAGCAATTTTAGTACATGCTTACTAGTGTTGGGTAGGAAAAAACGTTTGCGACATAGTTTTTGATTTAGGTGGTAGTACTGTAAATGGTATATGTAATGGTATGGCGGTAGTGTTGTATTTTTTGCAGTTTTTTTTTTTTTTTTTTTTTTTTTTTTTTTTTTTTTTTTTTATTCTTTATAATATAAAAATTAATTTTTTTTTTGTTTGGTGTTTCTCTTTTTTTTTTTTTTTTTTTTTTTTTTAAAAAAATAAAAAGACCTTTTTTATTTTTTTTCTTGTTGCTTTTTCTTTAAAAAAAAAAATTTTTTTTTACCAGCATTTTCAGGAACGAAGAAAAACAACTATCACTAAGTACTCACTGTGTAACAAATTGATTGTGTACCAAATGAAAATGCCTTCGTCGGCGCCGGCCATGATCTCCACACTGTTCGGACCGATATCGTATCCCATTCTGAAACATTTAAAATGTATATTGTATACAAAAGGTATATTTAATTTTTGTACACAATACAACTGGGAGACATAGTCGCGAAAAGCACTCCAAACATAAGTATAATATTGGTCCTTACTCAAGTCTTACATTGAGATGAATGGCGTGGCAAGAAACTTCAGTCCCTAAACAAACATTAACTATTGATCGTCCAGACATTAAATTGGCGCCTGAATGCTGCTGTTTCATAAGTGAGCGATGTGAACCGGAAACTTTTTTACGTAACGATGCATTTCATCATAGTCCTTAGATGTCTGTTATATGTGACCACGCATTCTCTTTTTTTATAGAAGAGGAAGCAAAAGAGCATGCGGCTCTCCTGATGGAAAGTGACTACCGCCACCCGTGAACAACTGCAACACCATGGAAATTGCAGGTGCTTTGCCGGCCTTTTACGTAAGGAGTAAGCTCTTTTCTTGAAGGTCTCTAAAGTCGTATCGGTCCGGAAAAATCGCTGCTGGTAAACGATTCGACAGAAGGGTCGTACGCGGAAGAAAACTCCTAGTAAAAAGTACAGTGGTTGACCGCCAGGCATCCAGACGGTGTGGATGGTATCGTAAGCTTTGTCGCGATGTGCGTTCTTGAAATTTGGCGGCTGTAATTAATTCTGCATTATTTAACAAGTATAAATGTAATAGGCAAGATTTTACGAGTCACAGCAGCCACTGTTTCATCATCTTCTTCATCTGCCTGGATAACTCCACTGCTGGACATGAATCTCGCCATTGTAGGAAAGATTTTATTTGCCGTGGTCGTCCCTATTTTAAGACTGTTGTATTTGGTATTATTTGCTGGTTCAATGTTTAAAGACAATATGGAAAAACTAGTGAATATTAATGTACACCTTATTATTTTATAAAGTAAGCATACTTTTACGTCGTTTCATTATTTTCTAATGATTGTAAAAATCATAAAGAGCCCTCTTACAGTTCGGCGTTACGCAAATATAGGTATTTTACGCTCCGAGCGGCACTTTATTTCATATCTTTTCAATCGCTCGCACTACGGTATTGTGAGTATAGCGACTAAACGATCTTGATCTTCCATTATACAAGTTTTCATAGGATGAAGTTCAGTGGATGGAAAATTTTGGTGTGTCATTTTTATGTTATCTAATTTATTTATTATAATCTATATGATATATTTTTCATTACTTATGAATCTTAGTTTTGAAATAAGTACACATAAATATTTTAATTGTTTCACAGTAATCGATTGTTAACCAATGTCGGTTAATAATCGATTATATCTACTAATAGTAGCATAGTGGTATAAATAAATTAATAGTACGATTGCAACCTGTTATAATAAAGAAAATAACCAACTGTAACTTATATTTTTTAATATGTACTTACAGTCAATTACCATATTTTATAATATAAAAATATTTGCCGCAACGGCATTGACCGAGCTTATCTCGAGTCAATAATTTCAGGCAGTATACACTTTTTATAGTACTTTTATTGCATAATCTGTATAATATGGACTGGCATCCATATAGCAAGCATGCAGGCATTTATATCCACTATTATTTTTTCTCCAGAGATAGGATATTTCTTTTTTTACGTTTAGTGACACATTGATACTTGTATTTATTTTTCCCCATTCGGACTGGTAAGAAAGCTCAGCTACAATCAAAATAACTGTAATGAGTTAACTATCTGGTATAATAATAATGTACGAACTTTATACTAATTGAAATATACTGTACTAAAGTAAATCTTTCCAACGATTAAAATTTGCGGGCGTAGTTGAAGATGGTCTAGCACAAAATAGCAGCGCCACGGCTAGGGTTGCCAGGTCTTAAGACCGAAAAGCTGGACAGACCAACGAGCTTAGCCGGACATTTTGGTAAAAAGGCCGGACACCCTTAATTTTTTAGTCTTAGTATTACATGACAATTTTTTAAAGTAAAACAGTGCTTGTGCAATGAAATAACAATAAAATTGAAAAATCAGTCTTCTTTATTATATAAATCAACTAATCATTCAATATTCATTAAAATATTAATTTAAATAATTGCAATATTATGTATGGAGGATGGGCTCACTACAAAATGTGGCGTAACTTAATGAAATGCATGTCGATTTGTTACTTATATTTCTACACGAGCGCTAGCGCAGTATTGAACGCAGAGGACCGGCGTAGTGAAAAATATGGTACTTTTATTTAGTTAATTAAAAATAATAGTAAGGTCAGTGTTTGGAAGTCCGTCTGGTAGGCAAGACCATCTAGCGGCAATAACTACCATTTTTGAACGACTAGGTTTTTATGCCTCGGTCGGTAAAACAGTATTACGGAGCTAGTTCGAACTAAGAAATAAAGATATTGCTAACATCATTAGGTTGAAAGAAATCGGTCAGCCATTTTATTTCGCGTTGTGAACTTGAAGTGGGAGTGTAACGTCTCTGAGAAAATAATCAAAAAAAGTGGAAAATCGATGGTGTTTTTGGAGTTTTTCTGATTACGTAAGTCATTTAGTGATCCATATACTTATTTCTGGTGATGAATACATTAATATCGCTTGAATTTCGAAATAATTACCTTCACAAAATACTAACCTTAAAATGTAATAGTTGGGAAGTCCGTCCAGCATGCATAAGGAAAGTGTTGCCGGCCTTGCCTCGAATGCCGATATTGTCAACCTTTTCAGCTGCACGTATTTAATAAAATATTTTTTTTGTTTTAAGGGTGCATAGTGCGACCATTAGCGCCGCCAATCAAGAAAAATCATTAAACGAAATAACTAAATATGTTTAATAAAATTCTGAAACGTACAAAACTAGGTAAAAATGTAAACTATTTTTGTAGGCATGTTTTTTGTCCTGGTTTAAATGTGTTTGTGTAGTTACAATCTGGATTAGGCGTTAATCCAGATTGTTACTACACGAACACATTTAAACTAAGAATTAACGCATACAAAAATAGTTTCGAACTTAACTTAGTTTTTATAAGTTTTAAAATTTTAATAAACATACCTAGTTATTTCGCTGTAATGTTATTTATTGATTGGCGGCGCTACTGGAGGCTCGGTGCGCTCTTATGCAAATCTTGAAACGTTGTTGCTATGAAAGCTTTTCTCGGGTTTTGCAAATTACTGAATTTTGGTTTTACGCATTGCTCTTAGCACTTCGATTCCCTTTCGAAAATGGCAAATATTTAACAAAATAGCTACTCCATTTGGGAAAATCACAAAACCATCGAACCTGTAACTTTTTGTTTCAGATTTATCACCTACATGTCATGCAGAAAGAGCCTGATTTTCTAGATATGATCCTTTTTTTGCAAAGAACCGATTTTGAAAGTTTAAACCAAAAAAGTGGCCTTGGTTAATAACCCACTTCATACTTGCAAAAAGTTGTTTTAATTGTAGCTACAGATCAGATATTAGCTATCCACGCCATTTTAAGATTCAAGCATCGAATATACAAATAGTACTAGAATTTCATTTTTTCAGGTGTCAAGGATGTTCCAAATTTGCTATTTACGACCATTATCCCAGCGACGAGTGCCAATTTTGCAATTATGGTCAGTAACTAAATAAGAAAACGGACAAAGCGTCCTATTCTAGGGAGAAGCTACAAGCAGCAGTAAGAGCTGTAAAAAATGGGGAGCTGAGTGGTTACAAGGCCTCTCAGGAGTACAAGATTCCGAGAATGACCATAATGGACCACGTTAACAATAAGAGGACCAAATCAAATTCACTAGGAAGAAACACAGCATTACCATTACAAGTAGAAAAGGAATTAGCTCTCGGTCGTCACCTGATGGAAAAGCATGGCTTTGGATTGACAAAAACAGACATGCTGGAAATGGTGGCCGATTTTGTGATAAAGAACATCAAAGGATCTTTTGGCATACCTGTCCAATTATTTTTTAACCTCAAGACGGCGGTGCACATTGTTACAAAAAAATACAAAGGTAAAAAAAAAGTAAAAAACGAAAGGAATTTGACAGGTATGCTAAATATGATTGAAATATTTCTGACATGTTCAATTAGAAATAAAGATTTATGTTTTTACTTAGTATTTTATTTAAAAGAAAATTCGCTACAATTTTATAGAAAATGTTTGCAACCACTGTCACCAAAGATATGACGGACTTGCCTTAAAATGAAATAAAATTAAATAACTTTGAAATTTAAACCCTATGGACAAAAATATTAAGCACACATTTCAACGCCAGTTTTGCATCAGTGCTAGAAATTGTTTTCATACATATTGCGTCACAAGTTATGGTTATATTGCTACTAGACGGACTTACCTCAACTCCGTCTCAAGTCCGTCTACACGCCGAGTTAAAAAAATAACATATAATTCTAAAGATTATTGCAATTAATATAATTTTTAGACCAATATAAGTAAATTAATATATTACCTATAATTTCCGACGACACAAATCACTTTAGAAAGCGTATCTCGTTCAATAAGTTTAGTTAAACTTAAAGTATAGAAAAGTATGCCGGTCTTCCAAACACTGACCTTAACCATTTAAAAAATTTAAATAGTAGAGTAGAGAAGTAAATGTTGATGGTTATTTTGGTATAAATTTTACGTTAAAATGATGTAGAGATTTGGAGATATTGGATTTGTATCGAAAATTTTTTGGTAGATAATTTAATTATGTCGATTTTTTTTCCCTTACGTGAAAGGCATATAAAGAAAATGTATTTAATAATTATTAAAGTATAGGATATTTGTGAGATAAAAATATTTTTTTCGCTGGTCAATATTCAATAGAATCTATAAATTAGAGCTCCCAAATCATGTCTCTCAGAGTTTTTGCCTAAACATACATCGAGAAAATGGTAATTACTAAATAAATAAATAAGTTATCTAAAATTTGCCTTAAGCTTATTGTAATAGATAATACGAACTATTATTACTAAGTAATTGTTATTACAAGCAACAAACGGAAAACATATAATTTCAACGAGGAAACATTGTTATTTTGCGATTTTTTGTAATACTCTTAACTTTTGCTTGCGTTCTAATATTTTTTTTTATAGAATTATGGTGACAAACGAGCACACAGTCCACCTGATGTTAAGTGGCAGCTGTGAACTATAGACATCTACATTTATCCTCAATTAAGAATCAAAATGCAGATACATCGTCACCCCTAAGGACTAAAATGGAATGCCTTGTTTCTAGTAAAAAAGGGTTTCCGGTTCTCTACACTCACCATACGAAGCACAACAGCCTTTAGCTGCTATTTTGAGCTGGTATTCTGTGAGAGCGCGATCCTATCCCGGATGAGCCGAACCATTCGCGCTACAGCTAATATAGCTGCAGCATGACTCTACCACGTAAATGTAGGTATAATATGAAATAAATGAGTTAATGAATAAATTAATATCGCACTTACGTAGATATTGCTTTAGACACGTGGCTGAGAAGCTGCTGTGCTTTGTCCTTAGGCAGCAGACGTAGCCCGGCCGTCGCTCGTATGATCAACGGTGTCGATTTTCTTTTCTCTAACGGAGTAAGGAATTCCGCCTTTTTTATTAATTGAACTATTGTGTCAGCACCCTGAAATATAAGTGTTAATATTATAATCTTTGGGCAGACGCAATAAATGAATACACAAGTGTTTTTGTTATTCACAAAGAAAGGACCCAACCTGGGAAATTGGGGATGGGATCTTACAGGATTATAGTGCGTGGTATAATTAATAATGTTGTACAACCGACTTCAATATAAATAAAATGACCACATCGTCAATGTAGTCCAAGTCAATTAAATACGCATTATTAAGGATAACTCAAGAACTACTGGTCAGATCTTAATCAAATTATATGGGAGAACATGAGAAGCATCAGCTTTCAAATAAAAAAGATCATCAAAATCGGTTCATCTAGTAAAAAGTTTTGAGGACACACATAAAAAAACATGCAGTCGAATTGATCTCTTTTTTAAGTCGGTTAAAAAGACCCATTATCTAGTCAATACCGAAGAAGATATAATACTAGACCGACAATTCCGAACAGAAACCGTGTCAGTGAAACAACTAGAGATCGCGCGGGCGCGGACGGTTTGCTGGCACGAAAAATATGTCACGCAGTTGTACTTCCATTTATAGCAGTTTCTGTTTTTAAGGAAATACGAAATAAAGTTACATACTTACTATGCATGCATAAAATTGATGTGTCTGTCTATAATATCTAAATAACTGCTTTTTTTCTCAATGCATATAAAAGTATATACCTAAGGTAGTCATAATAAAAACACAATTTTTTAAATGTATTTCTGTCCGTCTGTTTGTTCCGTTTAATCTCCGAAATGAATGGATCGATTTTGACGGGACTTCTATTGTCAGATAGCTGATGTTATAAGGAGTAGTAACTTAGGCATCTTTTATTTTAGAAATAGAATTAGGGTTCCGTGCAAAAAAAATTAAAACCCTAAATTACACGCGGGCGAAGTCGCAGGGAGCAAGCTAGTCTGAAATAAGCCTCGAATCACGTTGACAAAGTGTGCACATAAATAATAACAGCGTTTTCTTAGTCACATTACACAAAATCAGTGTTAGATTGTCGAAACAACGTTTTCTGTTTACAAAACAATGAACTAGTCTATCGATCGCTCGCAGTTAACTGCAGGAAATAAGGAAAATTGACCGTAACATTGCGTACAATTAATTAAGGCTGCAGAACCCGTCGATCTACAAGTATACATAAACAATTATCAACAAAACAAAATAACAATAATTAAATAAACAACAATTACTAAAATGGTCTCCCGAATGTTGGCGAACCCGTCATGTTTTTGCCGGGAAAACGAGACATTATGACAAATACACAAGATGTAAGGAGATAGATAATAGATTGTCAACTCCATTTTCGTTTTTAAGGTAAATGACCTTTCGTATCGCTGCTACTAACGCTTGTGAAATTTTGACCTCACTCCATCGGCGAAAAAGTCAGTCCGGTAGCGTACTGGTTTGGTGACCAGACAACGATATGTTTAAAGTATTATTTTTAATTAGTACTCATTCATTGGATATTTTATTATTTTTACAACAAAATTATAACTAATTAAAAATACGGTAATTATATTTAGTAATTATAATTTAATTTATAAATGTGCGAGATAAATATAAACGACACGTAGCACATCTTTGGTAAGGGCGACGATGATATTAATACTTACTACTGTAAAATATGTCTATTATTAAATTTATTTGACCTCTTTCTACATCAATAATCTTATGAATAAATGTTTATTTATATTTGAATCAAACACGTCAAATAAACAGATGTTTATTACCTTTTCAGGGTCATCCACGTGGGAAGACAGACCTGGTTTGGACTGTGCGAAAAATTCTTCAACTAGATCCAAACTTTGTGGTCCGAATACTAAAAAATAGACAGAAATGTTTAATATGACAGAACTGTACTTCAATCAAATTTTTATTTTTTAATAATAATAATTATAACGTCTTTGAGCCGTGGTAACTCAGGGCCTTTGCGCTCGCTGTAAACTTCACAGTACGCGAGCATCCAGGGTTCGATCCCCGCTGGCACCAATGAAATTGTTGATTGCAATTTACCACGTGCTCGGCAGTGAAGAAACATCGTGAGGAAACTCAAGAAGAGATCAAAAAAACTTCGCCAACACGCATTGGGGCATCGCAGCTGACAATTCCTTGCCCTAAAAGCCTCTCAGAAGTGAGAGGAGGCCTGTGCCCAACAGTGGGACGTATATAGCTATATAGTATAATAATATTTTTATAAAGGTACATTTTTAATTTAATTTAAAGAAGATATGTTTTTATTTTTCGAATTTGTAAATAAAGGATTAAGATCAAGGATTGTGTATAACAACTACGAAAAGAAGTTAAGCAACATAAATAAGTCAAAGAATTACCTGTAAACGGTACTCTAAATTTATAAGCCAAGACCCTGGTCCCTGAAGACCCAGCGTCGACAATAACAGCGTGGTGGTACACGCTCTCGTACCCGAGACTCTTAGCCAGTCCATCGAACCACTGTGTCTGCCCCGCGAAGAGCCCTTGAAAATTTAATTGAACACAATAAATAAAAAACAAGTATAAACTGTCTAGATACATAATTCAATTATTTTTTCCCTTAAGCGCGGGATAAGTAAAAGTCATGCGTTTGTATTTCCGCTTTAAACTTTTTCGCGTATTTTTTTTCGCGCAGTAAAAGTAATGTACAAGCGTTTGTAGCAAGTCCTCGCTTTAAACTGAACACTAGACGATGATCAAATCGAAGCAGATGTAAGCGAAATACAGGTGCTCATATTTCTATAGCCGCATGAACGTCAAAGCTAAAAGCTTGACGGTATGATTCTTGTTCAAGTTTTATTAATTAATAATTTCATTGAGCAAGACATGCCAGAACAAATTATGATCGCATTTTAATGAATTACGTGTGCAATAAACACCAAGATGTTTTTTTTATAGGATAGGGTGTCAAAGGAGCACACAGTCCATGTGATGGTAAGTGGTTTCTGTGGCCCATAGACATCTAAATCTATCCGCGATTACGAATCAAATCGCAGATGTCACCCGTGAGGACTAAGACGGGATGCCTCGTTTCCAGTAAAAAGGGTATCCGGTTCTCTACACTCACCATACGAAACACAGCAGCATTAAGCTACTATTCGACGCAGGTATTCTGTGAGAGCGTGGTCCTTCCCCGGTCGAGCCGACCATTCGTCGCTACAACCATACTACTAATATAACAGCAGCATGGCTCTACCACGCAAACATCTGTCTTTGTATTTAGTTTTTATAATGTATTAACCGTGTAATGGCGGTGTGAGAATATCCACCACCCCATATCGTCCCGTGGGTGTCTGTAAGAGGCGACAGTGGGAAATTGAAACTGGTGATGGAGCAGCAGCATCTTCCTGATAACAACTCAAAATAATAAGAAACTGCGCTCGCTAAGCATGTCAAATTTGGCAAAATTCCCCCCCCCCCCCTCCCTGTGAGGCAACCTGTGGGGGCCTATGTTCAGCAGTGGACTTTTATAGGTTGTAATGGAATGTATAACGAAGAAATCTGTAATATAAATTACAGATTTCTTCGTTCTTCGAAAGACTAGTAATAATTCTTTGTAAGCGCATGCTTATTTTACCTTTTAAGATATTATTTGCTGCGGACAAAGGACATAATACTTGTATACAGAAATTATGTTAAAATTTACATTTACAAAATATAACAAATTTAAATAATGACGTATAATTTTATTCATATAATGTGGTTTTCCTAAACTAACTGTCCTTGAACGACTAATATGACTTGTAATTGTGAATATCTCGTCAACGATTTAAAAAGTTTTATATCGCAGCCCGATGGTTTAACATACATATACATAAAAACACTCACGCCTGTCACCCAGAGGGGTAGGCAGAGACTACAGACTTCCATTTGACACGATCCTGACACAGCTCTCTCGCCTCCTTCACATCCATATACCTACGCATACATGCTCGCCGGTTAAGGGTACTCCTAATTTGGCCCGTTTTCAATAAATCGCTAATTTGGTCGATAAATTTTCGCCTAGGACGTCCCATTCCGACTCTGCCATTCACTTCTGCAGCATAAATTTTCTTTGTCCCTCTTTCCTCATTCATTCTTTCCACATGACCAAACCACCGCATTGGGGCATAAGTCGCGCGCGTCCGGAGGCTTCGACCACCTAATCCTAGGCCCAGCATACACGTGTCCCCCGGATGGTGCTAAATGAGCGACAAGCCGATAGCACAGACACGGATATAAAATATACTACCTCACATTTCGCACATGAGGCCCGATGGTTTAATCAGCCAGTTATTTGATACCTACGCCGTTTTAAGCCAAAAGTTAATAATTTAAATTTGAAATTCAAAGTCAGATGCATATCGAACTTTGATCCGGCCAATATTAGAAAATTGCAATTTCAAATTTAAGGGCCGCACGTGGTATCTTGACCATGGCACGGCCCGTCAGATAATGCTGCTTAGTTATGAGTGTCTAATTACACATGTATTGAAAATCAATAAGTTAAGATTAAAACAGAAAAAAACAATAATTGATTTTGGCATAACTCGGGATTCAAACCTGGTACCACATGATCAGCAGTAGCGCTACAACCACTCGACCAACGAGGCAGTCAATTTTAAGTGTATGATGTCCATTAGAGATGCCTCGAATACTCGCTATTATTCGGTATTCGGCATTACTCGACATTTTTTTGTTATTCGTCAAATACCGAATAATAGCTATTGATATATTAAAAGGGGAAGATATGTTACACGCTAATATCGCAATCACTAAACCTGGGCTCGGCGCACGACTACAAGCACCAAAACTTACACATCTGTTATCGTAACCGCAAAATTACTAATTAGGTTAGGCTTTTTAATTAATATTTAATGTCTAAAAGGGTCAATTGTGGTGCAAAAAACTAGTTTTTCTGCACGATTTGGATCAAGTCGGTTGCGCTTTTCGTCATAAAGCAAACCTGCCTCAGAAAAGTCGTTCTGAATAAACAGAGCTTACTAGTGTGATTAAGTATCGTTTAGTTTATACTTAAAATGGAGGATTTGGCAGGATTGTTTTTTTTTAAGTTACACTTCAACTATTTCAGTCTTTAATTCAATTGAAATTCAGTCTTTAATTCAATTCAATTGATTGAATCAATAATGTCTTTCTGTAATTGAAGAACTTGTTCGAAAATTAAAATGTCTTCTTGAACGAAAATTAAAACGTCGACTGACGTCACGTCAAGCAAGCTCATCACGAATGACAAACAATATGCGTGCCGCCCAACCTAACCTACCACACACGAGTGACAAGGGAAAGGAGGCAAAGAATTAGAGTAGCAACAATACTCGTCATGCCGCACGTCATGCTCTTCATGCCCATCGCTCCCTGTTTTGTTTTGTCGGATTTTTGGGCGCGAGTCAAAGGACTGGCAATATAAGCGCGAGTCTCCGGCCCAGTGTTGCCAGATGTCTTGAACCTTTTATCTGTATTAGACACTGCTAAAATCTGTATTAAATCTGTATGCTACTTAAACTTAAAATTTGTATAATTTAATAAACCAAAATAGAATAATTGATCATCATCATCATTGCTTTTTTTGAAAAACAAGGAATAACTACTAACATGATATGCAGATAAGGTTTGATTATCGTTATCAAAAAAAAATATTTTTTTATAGAATAAAGGTGACAAACGAGCACACAGTCCACCGATGGTAAGTGGATGCTGTGGCCCATAGACATCCACATTTATCCTCGCTTAAGAATTAAAACGCAGATACGTTGTCACGCCTGAGGACCAAGAGGGGATGCCTCATTTCCAGTAAAAAGGGTCTCCATTTCTACTTTCACCATACAAAACACAGCAGTATTATCTGGTATTTTACGCTGGTATTCTGTGAGAGCGTGGTCCTTCCCCGGTCGATATCGTCGTCGATATCGTATATATATATATATATATATATATATATATATATATATATATATATATATATATATATATATATTTTATAATATATATAGCTGCAACGTGGCTCTACCATGTATAAAATATACACTATACACAAAATTTTTTATATAGCAAAATTGAAAACATTAATTTAAGCAAACAACATATTAAAACTCAAACATTTGCCTATTGAAGATATAATTACTTTATTATTTTCAGTCACACATATTTTATACACAGGGCGTTAGTGTAAACATGTTATACAAACCAGGGGTCACTTATAGAACGTAAATTCAATGAAAAATAACATTTTTTTTTAGTAAAAATCTCAATTTTTCCTTAATTCCTCAATTTTGCCTGTCCTAAGCCAGGGTGAAAGTATGAAGGAAAAGTTACATCACAGGTTATGTGTACCTATTGTGTTTTTATTAGAATATAGTGTAGGTAGCTAGTGCGGGCGGTGATCTTTACAGTGATTACTCACCCGGGCGCATAGGGTATCCATGAATTTACGGACGGTTTCGGACAGAAACCTCTTAAATTTTATGAAAGAAAATAGGGTTTTTTTTTAGAATTTGGATAAATATTTTCATATTAAAGCCAACTACCTATAGTTTTAGTGACAAAGGTGTTTACACTTACACCTTGTATACATATTTTGTAATACACTTGTAATTCTGCCATACTAACTAATTACGTTGTGAAAAAATAAATCAACCATAAAGAATAGAATCATGAATGTGTGTAACGCGGTATCTAGTCTCTTATTTTGCTTCATTCTATTTTAAGTTGAATATTATGATAATCCAATCAATAGAGTTAGAAAACTCTGTATAAAAATCTGTACCCAGTGCTAATCTGTATCATACACCGAAAATCTGTATAAATACGGGGAAATCTGTATATATGGCAACACTGCTCCGGCCACATAATCGCGCAAACGCAGTCCTAATCGAGAGCTCGTTACGGAAGCGTCGTTCTATTACGATAAATAAATGTTATCCACCATCTGTTAGCGAGGACGACGACGTATATTTCTTTTTTGACATTGATATAATTATCTATACTAAATATGCATATAGCTCGTACGCTCACATAGTTTCAACCATGAAGGTTAGAGAACAGGAGAACGATCGCGTTAGAAAATATTGTCCCAGAAATATGGACACCATAAGTGAGGCGCTGCGATCGCTAAGTTCAGTCAATAAAAGTCATTTTCAGTCTATTTTTCCGATCAGATGCTAAACCACTTGCACGTCCACACACAATAAAATATTTCTCCATTTTTAATGTTTCTTTTTGTCAAAAATTACAAAATTACGGAGCATGAAAATTTTCTCACCAATGCGAAATTTGTACATTATTCAACTAACTTCATCTACTTGTACTCATAAACAGCTAACTTCGCAGTTACTACTCACCGCCGTCGGCGCCGCTATAAAATCTACAATTTTCAAGGACAGGCGGGCTATGCTTTAGTACGTATTGATCGTTCTCCTGTTCTCTAACTTTCATGGTTTCAACATCCATTGTGTTAAAGCAAACACAACCTAGTGCGTAGCGTCTC